CATCAGAAAATATTAGTGTCATTATTTCTAAGCAGATGAGGATGCACACATGAATTTTTAGCATCAATTTCATTAAAAAAAGTCTGATTAAATTTAGTCAGAAATTACTAGAACAAACAAGCAAATAACCAAAATTGAAAGATCTAGAAAGATTGCTCATAGGACCAATTTGATCAAAATTCTAACTAATATAACTCTCATAATTTGTGTAACGGAAAGTAGTACAATACACAAAAAGTATACTTATGCTTGAAAACTTCTGTTGCAAAATGAAAGTTTCCTTATATATCAAACTATTCCGATCTTGGATTGTTTTCACAACGGTGATTTTTTGTAAAAAACAAGAAGACATAATATTGTAATTAAAATAAACTATTTAAGAACTCTGATTAATTTTATTTCCGAATAAAATTTCAATTTTATATATTTGTTTTCTTAGAGAACGGATAAATGTTCCGGCATACCAAGTTCTTTTCTTTAATTACTTTCTTCTTAATGAAACTGGCAACAAGGAAAACTTCCGCTTTAGGTGAAGAATGTCATGAATAGTTCTTTTTTTTTGTGTGCATTTTATACGTAAGATCAGTGAAGCGATTTCAAGATCTATTATTCAGTTAGCAAACGTTTTCAAACTGTTTTCATAAAGTAGAAATATTTAAAAAATTATTTATATTTTTGCTTTCTATATTCTTTCTTATAATTCATTTAGTCTAATTAGCAACGATCTTTGGCTTCAGGCTTCGTTGATGAAGCATACACGTTTGAATACACGCTATTTTCCCTAATTTCTTCAATGAACTTCTATGGAATTAAATCTTGGGTTCATGCTGTACTACAAGCGAAGTAAAAAATATTTTTCGCGTTTCTGTTTCATTTTTATTTCTAGATGTTTGAATTTCTTTGTTTTGAATTACGTTCATTTATGACCATTCAATTTATGTTCATTTATGAACATTCAGAACATTATGAATGACATGAAACATTATGAATGACATGATTACATTATGAATGACATGAAAAAAATTCTCCTGAATCCATTTTACAATTAGTTTTGGAAAAATGAGTCCTTTATTCTCTCTCTACCTACAGATGTCACGCAGAAACATCGTTCATATGCGTTCGAGAGCAGTCAAAATAGATATTAATATGATACCCGAAATTTTTCGCGATTACAATATTTCCTTTTTTTCAAACAAGGACGTAAAAATAAGTTAATTAAGTTTGAAAGTATGATAACTTATGAAACTGCGTTTAAGGCTTTAAAATTTCTTTGCTTAATGCTTAGCTTGTCTCATGGAAGAAATGTTTAGAGTAATATAGAAATACGTGGTAGATTTTGCAGTAATCTATTTACATTATAAGGCTAGTATTATTTTTCATTAACAAACTTCTTTGCTATAATTTCTCCTTTCCGTTTCCTCACCAACAAAAATGCAGATGAATTTAGAGAGTATTTAAGACAGAGCGTGTAACTACCCCTCAAGCCTACATTTTATTAAATCTCCAATTAATTGTAACTTTAGTTTTATCGCCACAAGTGCTGATTGTTTTGTTAAGCAAAAGGCTAGGTTAGGTGATAACGGCAAAGCCACGAGGGCTATCTGCCTAAGGGAATGGATCTCTCCATGGAGGACTTTATAAGGGAAACTGACTCGTGTACCCATTACACATGACGAAAACGCCCATGCAACCAGCCCGTTTGCGAGATTCGAACCTCGGACCGAACTACCAGTGTTGAGTGACTTTACCGCTCGGCCACTGGTAGGCCTTAGCAAAAGACCTGCTGTTATGGTCAAAGTTTGTGTTTAAACAAAATTCTTATTTTAAACTTTTACAAGTCTATGTTGTTATTTCAAACATATCGAAAATTCGCTGTACGTCTGTTAAGAGTTTGAATCTTGTTTATGCAGCCAAAACAAGTCCAACTCTTTAACATCAACAGCGCAATAATGCGCTAGGTTAATTTTGTCATTATCACTAGAGCGCATTAAATGAAACTTTAATTTACAGTACGTACCTAAATCACATTGCGGTAATAACCAAATCTAACTGAAATGAATGCTAACATTGACAATATACCTAATTAGTATGGTGTGCATGAATGCATTAATGTCATTTCTACCAGAACGGTAGAAAAAAAACATTGCCTATGCTAACGTCACTAACCCCTGTGCGGCTTACTAGAAAGCAATTTTTTTTGCGATTAAATTCTTTAATTGAGTTCGGCTAACAATAATTCGACCACTGGACCTGAACATATTAAATTTTGACTCCTCTAAAAATGTAATATTGTTTCAGTTTGATAAATCTTTGTCTACTAACGACTTTGCGAACGCCAAATATGTCTCCTTTATTTTCTTCTTCTTTTTTTTAATTCAAAATGGCGTTAGACACAAAGGGTTATTAATCTCAAAATGGCACTTTGCGTCGTTTCACTTTCTGAGTTGATTCACGTTTCAATTTTACCAAATATTATCGCCATGTATTATATTTAAAGAAACTAAATAATGAAGAATCTGCATGAATGTTTCTCGAATTGTGAATAAACAACGGTACCTAGAGTCATCCAATTTTGAATAACGTAGTCCTCGAAACGAACATGAACACTAGGAGGCCCGAATTTTGAATTTCGAATTTGTTTTATTATCTATTTCAAACTTTGTAACATTTTAACGAATTTTTGATTAAGAAACTCAATGATTTCAAAGCGAGCAATAGCAACGCTGCTCGAAAAAAAAAAAAAAAATTTTATCTCCAGTGAGCAAGATTGTCTGTCGTAAATTCTAAACATATGCTGTTTTTAAATACTTTTTTATATTGCTGTTAAATTGAATTTTATGTGGTTTAAGTGATAAGAACATGATATTTAATTAATAAAGTTAATTCACAAAACGTTAAAAAAACACCCTTTGGGACGTAGTAAAAAATCTGAAAGCTTTCGTATTTTCTTTTTCTTTCTTTCTTTTTTTTCCCCTGTTGTTATCTCTTATTACAACTTCATATTCCCCGAAGTATACCTCGTGGCTTACATAATTTAACAAAGTAAATTAACAAATGTACAATAGAAGGAGGAACAAAAATTTCTTTGGCATCCGAAATTTTTCGCGATTACAATAAGTCAAATTTTAAAAAAATCTTTAAAAAAGAAGAACTAAGTAACCTAAGTTGAGAATAAAATTTCACGAAACAGAAATTTTCTTTTTAGTCCTCTTCAGAGGAAGCTACTTCAGCCACTTTAAAGCACCTGTCTGCATCTTGGCCACCAGTTTTTTGGTGAATACATTGGAGAAGAGTATGATTAACCTCTTGATCACCGCTACTCCAACAGCACGAAACACTTGAAGCAAGTCCAAATGGCTTTATTTAGCTCTTAAAATTGTCCTGTCCTAATATAAATCGAGCAGATTTATAAAATCTATTGAAAAGTGATCAAATTTTATTCTGTGAAAGATTGTAGGAAAGTCCTTTTGGTCCACTGTGCTTTTCATGACGTAAAATATTATCCGTTCCATATATAGATGGCATTTCTTCCAGGGAGAAACTTGAACACGGAGCCTTAAATCAATGGGAAGTTTCGAAGCTAGCTTTGCTGCAGGCCTCTCATTCCCAATATGTCCGAATGTCTCATTCCCAATGTCCACGAACATACGCCAAATAAATGTCGATATCAAGATCTTGCAAGGTCTTAGCAATAACCTGAATTTCAACAGCAAGTTTGCCTGAAACGTTATTTTTCTAAGCTGATTGCAGCGAAGAAAGAGAATCTTTACATATTAAAATGTGCACTGATCTCAAACCACTACAATAATCTGGAATCAGTTTCACACCAAAGTTTAAGCAGGTAACTCATCCTGAAAAACAGATCACTCAACACTAATTCTGTACTGTTTGAAGTCTTTTTTCAAAAACAACAAAAGCAAGATCAACCTTATTATTCATCTTACTTCTTTCGAAGAAATATATTGTTGTATTTTATATACATGTATTGTAGAGAAATTAGGCTTTTTGATGCGGGAGATGTGAAAAATGAGCAATGCCCTCACAGGGACTCGAACCACGTACTTCTCGAATACACGCAGAGCGTGCTGATCATACCACGAAGACCTGCTGAAAAGGCGGCAGAAATACCTTACATATTCCCCCTTTTAAAGGGCGACTGGAGATTAGGGGACCCAATCGCCAAATCCTGGTGGTGGAGAATTATCATTCACCACCATTTTAGTTCGGGCGCCATTGTAGAGACATTAGGTTATTTCTAAGAAGTGCAAATAAGCAGTGCACTTGCCGGTACTCGAAACTCGGACCTCTCGCATACGCGCCGACTGTGCTAGCCATTACACCACGAAGACCTGTTAAGAAGGCGGGAGAAATTCCTACTTTTAAAGGGCGTCTGGGGCTTAGGGGACCCATTCGCCGAATCCTTTTTTTTATTTCGGGTGCCACTGTAGAGATATTTAGAATGTCTGGGTTAAGGAAATTGAAGAAATGTGCAATGCCCTCGCCGGGAATCGAGCCTCGGACCTCTCGAAGACGCCCCGAGTGTGCTGACTACTGCACCAGAAAGGTATGCTAAAACGTCGGGAGAAATACCTTATAATATATCATATTTTTGCAGCATTCTGCGCAAAAAGTTTTAAGACCAAATAGGTCTTACGTCACATTACTTGTTAGCTTTTCAATTTCTATTTCGATTATATGTAAAACATATATATATACGAAAAAGAAAAGTCTGCTGAACTCTTAAAACGAAGTGAGTCATTCATAAGAAAAATAATTAAATAATTCGTAAGAAAAAGTTTAATATATTTTGCTTCTTAAAGGTGATGATCTCCATCTTCCTCATCCCTTTTAGGAAGCAAAATATATTAAACCTTTTCTTTTCCATTTTTTTTGCCCCGGGAAGACACGCTTTGCAAGGTCAGAAATCAAATTATCATTCCTGCAACATTTCTCCCGTTCTTCCGCCAGTTTGCGAGGGGATGGAGATAGCGTCTCGGGAAGCGCGCGATGGCAACAATCGGTGCACGATCAAAGAGAGAGAAAGGGTTACAAAATCATCCGCGTTTGTCCTCATTCGCCTCCAATTAAGGCGTCCGGTTATAAAGGACCGCTTTCTTCACATCGATGATTTTCAGAAACGATTCTTTTCGGTTTTTGTAAACAGCTCCGCACGGAGCTGCTACATGTTGGGCGCGCGAAACAATTCCCTCGCTTCCCTCTCTAGCAGGTAGAATATGAGGAATTTAAGACTCGCGTACACCGTCTTCTTCGCGGTGAGTACTCTCTCTTTATTTTTGTTCTCTCCCCTTTTCATTCTACATTTATCACAGCTTTGTTAATTTCTGTATCATGTAAAAAAACTTCTTTTTTAAATTTTAAATTAAAAATTAATTGAATCCAAAGAGTTGTTTGAATTCTTTATACAATAAAAATTTTCTAATATGTAAATATGCTGATTATGAATAATGAATTAATAGAATTTATTTAAATGTGAGAAAGTTAATCAATTTAATTGTAATTAGCATATCGGGGCAAATATGCTGATAGTATAAATTTATCGAAGAAATATCAATGTAATGTAAATGATTTGATTATATCTCAATAAGGATATATCGATATATCAATTGTAAATTAACTGAGTGTATCTGGTTGTTGATCACCTGCAACATTTAATTGTAGTTTTCTAAATGCATCTCCTCGTGAATATGTTCACACGAGAAATATAAATTAATTATAACGATCTCAATATGTTTATATGCATATGCATCTCCTTGTCAATATGTTCACACGAGAATTATAAATTAATTGTAATGATCTGGGTATGTTAATAAACTTCGCGTGTTTTAATAGTTAGTTTTGAGAATGCAATGAAGAATATGAAAGTTTTACAATGACCATAATATTAATTAATCACTAATTAGCTTCTCATTTGAAAAATCAACAGTTTTAACAACAGTAATATTTTAATCATGTTTAATGATTTGTAGTCAACGACCCGGTGGTTCAAATTCATAGAATGATTATTTTATAGTTAAGCATGCTATACCTACGTGTATCATGATGCATCTGTATACTATAGGATTGCCAGTACATTTGACTTCGGGGTACATTACTTAAATGTTTCATTTTAGCAGCATGCGACAAGATTTTGTATCGTCAAAATATTCTTTCATTTGCATCGATCATATCATATTTTCTTACCAAGGATTCAAATTCTTAACCCTCTTGGGCGCTTTTTAACAGGACATAAGACATCGAAATTTAAATTATATGTAAGATACTTCACTAATTATTTTATTTCAGTACGAACACCTTTTAGTTGCAGTTAAAAAAGAGATTATATATTACTGTGGGAATACTACATTCATTTTCACATTTCTTTCTAATTGTCTGAAAAATTCGACCATTTGATATGATAGAAACGAAGAAAAAAGGAAAGCATATATCTTATCTTGCATGAAAATGTTTTAAATGTATCAGTCAGTAAATTCTATATCGGAAGTGCATAATACATGGAATATGAAATTTCTTTATCATACTAATGGCTCAGCCGTTAATAATATTATTGAGAACTTCGTGCATCATTTTTAAATATCTAAATTCATGAAAATTATTGTGTTTTGTCTATGCATTGATACGTATTGTTACTGTACAACTTTTAAATTTGGCAGATTGTCAAGGCATATGAATATACAATGTATTAAAAAGGTAAAGACAGCGGATGTTCAGCTGTCGTTTATTGGGTGCGTATTGACCTGGTCACGAATTAATCGAGCATTCTCTAAAGAAAGGTTAAATGTGTTCATTGCTGAACAACAGAAAAATTATTAATGCTCATATAAACGCAAAACAAAACGGGTTATAGAAGTTATGAAAATGAAAAGAAAAATGCATTTAATGTTAGCAAAATTAAACCTTTTTTGTTTCCAAAATTCCATACGGAGATGAAATTCATATTGATCATCCCGCACTTTATTTCAATAAAGTCAGACTTCAGTTCTTGTCAATAAAAAACATCTTTGATAATATTAATAAATTTTATTTGGTCTTTTGAAAGCACAAACATATGACTCCTCCGGCTTAATAATAACGACTATTACAAAACTACAAGTGCAAATTTTGTATCATGTCTTTAGAACATCTTTTCCTTCTGATGTTGTCATTTCGACAAAGCATAACTCTTTTTCTTTCATTCACAATTCCAGATCTTTACAGCGGATGATGTCATAGTCGTATAAAACTTAATTTCTTCGTTTCTAACAATGGTTATTCTTGACTAATTTATACTGGGTTCTTTAATTTATGTAACCAAATAAATTTATTCTCCAAATTAAATCCTTGAAAATACAAGTAATTTGTCAGCATTATTTTCTCTTAATTATAATATGGGTTGTTTCTGTCTTTTGTAATTTTATAACTGCCTTCGAATCGACCACGATTTCGAGTTAGCCGTGGATGTCGTTCACGGTATTATCCTTGTAAATCAAGAACTGACTGTATTTCTGTAGATCCAGACCTGATCTTGAGGACTTCGGGATAAAAGGACTTTTCTTTGACAGATATGATTATCTCGATTTCAATTTATTTCTCTATAGTGCGTAAAAAGGTGCTTTTTAAAAAGGACTTTCAATTTTCCTTTCAGTTTTCTTCAAATCCAAATTAAATCAGAAGGCGATACGAACTGACCGTAAATTTTTCCTGGTGAAGGTTTTTTACTGGTTACATTAAAAAGCACTGAAGATGAGTGTGCAATCATTTTAAAAACACGATAACCTATTCGCTAACCACCGCAGGTAAATTGACCCGAGAAAGTATATTCTCCGATCGTGAATGATTACTATGTAAATTTTTTATTATTGATATGTTATTCATACAGAAACAAAATACGCGTGCCAAGTAGACAGTACGGGTACTTCCACAATGAAGTACGTATAGTAACAAACTACGTTCAAAATTTTCTTTAGTTGTATTATGAGACAAATTTATAATAGTTGCACAGAATGCTCCCCTCAATATATCTTGCAGTTGTGCAACGTAGAAGTATAACTGCACGATGCGGAAAAATAAGTCTATGGTGTATTTTAGGCACTCCGAAGATTTTTTATGCTGATGTTCCGCAGTCCACACTGTGCGCGCAAAATATCCAAGCAACTTTTAAAAAATATCTATTCAAAAAATTGCAAATTTAAATAACATGTGGCTGCTTGTCAATCGATATTGGTAAAACTTTTGCGCAAAAGAATAATTTTATTTGCGTCTTTTCGTGAAACCCGTTTTTATGGCATATCTTGTAAATATGAATCAAATTTTCGCCCCATGAGTACTAAGCCTTCCTGTGATATATGACTGCTGGAGACCTTCTGTGACAATTTCGTACACTGCATAGCTATAAAGATATATTTAAGAAGGTCTATTTTAAACTTTTGCATTTTTTGCACTTCAATATTCCTAAGATATTCTTTGGTAGCTATAAAATGTAAATTTTGAAAATACGAATTAGAGTAAAGTATTTCAACTGAATTATGGAGCCAAAATTGATGCTATGAAATTACATTGTCACTATTGCTATTACTACTCAGTATAATTAATTACAAATGACTCACCGAAATTTGAACGTATTCTTCATATTCTCGTAAAGAAAAGACAGCAATTTAAAGTTTTTCAGAATTTTTTGTGAAACAAAGTGTAGCGATTTTATTGATTCATTTTCAGTCATCCATTTTAAATATATGAAGTGTTATTAGTCCAAAGGGGTTTTTGTCCCTGAAGGACTATTGTTTTCGTTTTGCGATTTTGCGTTGAAAATTTTGAAAGGCTGGATCATTTTTCAGATCGTTGCCACCAAATACTATCGCTCTGTATCATATTTGAAGAAATTAAATAATGAAAAATCTGCATAAATGTATGTTTGTTTTTCTCATTGTGATAAAACAACGGTGCTTAGAGCTATTCAGTTTTGAATGACTTAATCTTACTGCGAATATGGGCACCTGAAAGTCCAAATTTAGAACGCGGAATTTGTTTTATTATCGATTTCATATTTTGTAAAACTTTAACTAATTTTTGATTAACAAACTCAACGATTTCAAAGCGAGCAATGGCAACACTCTACGAGGAAATAAAACCTTTTTATCTCCAGCGCGCGCGGAACCGTGTATCGGAAAGTTTAAAGATATACTCATTTTAAAATTATTTTGCGACATTGCTGTTGTCCATAAAATTCAAAAATCATTTTGCACTGATTTTTGTTCATTTGCACTGATTTTTGTTCATTTTGCACTGAAACCATAAAATTCAATAAATTTTATGGTTTCAGTGCAAAGAACATGATATTTAATAAATAAAGGTAACACACAAAACATTAAAAAAAACGCCCCCTTTGGACGTAATGTACGTAAAATCTGAAATCTTTCAGATTTTTATTTTTTGTTAATTAATTTTTTTTAGAATATTCGAAATATTTACGCACTGCAATTGTATACTTTGAAGGAATACGATACTATGTAATTACTAAACCACCAGAAAATTCTGTGATGGCATCAGCACTTCAAAAACATTCGTTGATTCTGCGAAGAACAAAAGCGGCGAGCCTTCAAACGTAAGTAATTAAACATTTGAAGGATTTAAAAAGAGTGTCTAGAGTAACTTACAAAACAAATCTGAGCTGCAAAATTCGTATTCCACACACAAATATTTGGAAGTTTCGGCGACGGTGTATTTAATTAAAGTAATACTGTTTGCAAATGTTGCAGCTTTTAGGACCGGAGGATTAAATTACGTATTATGAATTTTATAATTGCCTTAGCCTCCCGAACTGCATAGTAGTTAGTGACTCTACTCTGACTTATAGTACAAAAGCGCCCGGGTTCAAATCCTGGATAAGGCATGGATGTTTGTAAATGTATAGTGTCTTTGCGGGATGGGGGCACTCTAAATATATGACGAACCGGAAGTCCTCTTGTGTGGTTTGGTGGTAGGAGAAGAGGGGTGAAAGACCCTCGGACCCATCGCCTGGGATGCTTTCACTTAAACCTGGCGTGGAATTGGACCAGTTTTAAGTCAGAGCAAATAATACCATAAATATGACAGGGTACAAGCAAATAATACCATATAGGTTGGATATCATATACTACCATATAGGTTGGGATACAGAGCAAATAATACCATATAGGTGACAGTTCATACTGTTATGTTATATATTCATACTATATGGCACCCAAGGCTCTTCCCAACGACAGACGTAATCTTGTGGTCCTTGCCACGATAAATTTCG